TACCGTACTACTATATATATATATATATATATATATATATATATATATATATATATATATATATATATATATATATATATATATATATATATATATATATATATATAGTTTTCATATGCACTACATTTTAGTTGTGCGTGCCATTTTTACAGCGAACCCCACTGTTGGCATGTACTACAGCCCTACAGTGCATATTCTGCCATTGAATGGGCGAGATTGTAAAAATCGTTGAATGCTTACATATTGTTGCACTCCACACATACCATAACACATGACCACATTGCCCAGACTCACATACCTTTTGTTATACCACCTAGGCGACGTGAAGTCTAGGACAGCTATTGCCGAGTACTACACCTGTGAGAACGCGCCAATTACCGTTGACGATGTAATTATTACGAGCGGATGTTCTGGTGCCCTTGACCTGGCCATTGGGGTGCTAGGCAATGAAGGAGATAACATCCTTGTACCACTACCTGGTATGTATATTTCACACGCATACTCTTATTCGGTTGGTTGTGAGTTCGGTATCTCCGCTTGCTCGCAGGTATAAATCACTACTGCAGCGCAGCTATACGAGTAGTATGTACTAATAATTTGTATGCACCATGTCCCTGCCTATATATCCTCAGGATTCTCGCTATACCAGACGCTGGCTGAGTCCAAGGGTATGACTGTCCAGCACTACCCACTACTAGCCGATAGCAACTGGGAGGTTGATTTAGAAGCCCTCGCCGGGATGATCGACAATCGCACCATGGCTATTGTGGTGAACAATCCGTCAAATCCATGCGGGTATGTGGCGTCTATATTAAATATAAATGTATAAATATATAGATATATAGATATAGATATAGATATAGATATAGATATATATATATATATATTTATATATATAGATATAGAGATACAGATATAGATAGATATATATATATTGAGGCATTTGCACACTGTGCAAATGTGTTTCTTGGAATGGTTTGAGCATGGGCTTATCTGTTAGAGTATGCGCACTCTGGTGCGTAGGGACCATTTTTGCGGAATAGGAATCAAGTGTCTGAATTCTTCAAATAGAATGCGTGCTTCTTAGACCTTGTAAGCTATTATCATCAGTACTGATCTTGGGTTAGTAATAGACTTGTCACGTACGTTTTGGTATTGCTGCGGACACACAGATGCGTAGGTAGCTGGTCATACAACAATACGTTCACTGATGTTCTGTCTACTTGTGCTGGCAATGCGTATTCGATCCCGGTTGTGTTTGTGTCGGAGCGTGTCATCGGCGTAGATGGCGGGCATAGCCTTGGCGAGCAGATGAATCAGTGGCCTGTAGTAGACGTTTATAACGTTAAAAACCAATCAACGTTTTCCTTGACGCCACTCACTGTCTCTATCGACTACGGACGGACATACATCGATTGCGTAGTTTTCGTCACTCACAGTCGTGTATCGAAAGTACCACAGAACCACAAACGGAGATAGCTGCACGCGTTTGAGTCCATTGTAACGTATTGGCTGTCTGCATTGGTATGGATAAATACTTTAATCAACTGCTACTGAACCAACCGCTCGCCCCGTGTGTATACAGCTCGGTCTATTCCAAGGATCACCTGAAGGCTATCCTAGCGGTGGCGGAGAAGAACTTCGTACCTATTATCGCCGATGAGATATACGCAGACATGGCGTTTGAGAAGGACTCGTTCTTCCCACTCGCGTCACTGGAGAGTTCGGTACCTATTCTGGCAGTAGGAGGTCTGGCGAAGCGCTGGTTGGTCCCGGGTTGGAGGGTTGGATGGATTCTGATCAACGATCGCAATAATGTGTTCGGGAAAGAGGTGTGTGTGTGCGAGTGTGTGTGTGTGTGCGAGTGTGTATGTGTGTGCGAGTGTGTGTGTGAGTGAGTGAATGAGATGGAGTGTGTGTGAATGAGAGGGAGTGTGTGTGTATCTTTAAACTATAGCTCATGCTATGCTGTCGATGAGATACTACATTATATATC